TATATATATATATATATACACATATAATTTTTGTACACATAAACGTTTTGACCCTCTATCGGGTCATTTTTGGTATGTTTGCAATAAAATTTATTTCAAATATTCTTTGTTGTGTTGTCCCTAATTAACAGTTATTAAATTCTTTGTCGTATTGTTCGTAACTAATGATTATTAAATTAAAAAATGCAATGGTACTTAGTACTTTTAAACTTTTCCAAAAGAAGAGCGGAACAGATTAATATTTCTATTTTGGAACCCGTATAAATGTTACGCGAGGGGTAAATCGCTGATCAAAATTGTATGCATCAATGCCTACTAATGCCCAGTAATGTCCAAGTAATGCCCAATTTTTATGCCCACTAATGCCCATTAATGCTCTAGTAATGCCTATTACTGCCCTGGTAATGCCCATTAATGCTCTAGTAATAACTTCATACCTAGCTTATTATAATGCGTAATTCTCTTAAGTAATGCCCCAAATCTGTACACCGCAATGCCCTCAACGGTTTACCCCTTGCTATATCCGGATATGATCTCCGATAGTTCGATTTATTGAACTATGGGATATGTACTAATATACATTGAATACGTGAGCGACCAGCAAGGACTTCAAAATGCAGAATGACGGAAAAAGAAAAAGCGAGGTTAGTAAACATAAAAAATTTTTAATCATTTTAAATAAAATTAATTTATTGATACAAGAGGACTTAATTAGAATCAACTAAATTAGTAAAAAAGAAAAAGGAGCTACGAGTCGAAACTATATAAGTGTTCGTGCTACTATTAAAAACAGTCTTGTTATATAATAAACAAACTTTTCGACTTTTATTAGATCTTTAAATGCTAGAAGAAAAAGTAAACAGACTCTTAACCATATTTATTTTATATTTCTTTTCGATTATTATTTTATTTCATTTTATTTTAATATTTTCTTATGATTATTATAATTTCAGCTATGGCCATGCTATACTTGCGAGATCTGCAAGACCATTTGTGCGAAAATCTAGACTCATGAATGTGTACAATGTTACCATTAAGTTTTGTCACTGATAACAATTTATATTTTTATACAAAAGATGGTAAGTACTGAATAATAAAAAGTACGGAATTGAATGAAAATTAAAACTTTATTTAATTGTTGTCTTTATTTATATTTTCAGATGACGGTAATTTTTTCTACGCAGAATTTAGTCAAGGAGGCCGCAGGCGGTGGCCGACAATTGCAACTACAGTGAAGGTGCTCAAAGTAGCGCTCCCTGGACGAATGAGAAAATTCGTCTGGAGGAGCAGCTTATCTCATATGTTCGGCGTCTTTGTAGAATTTCAAACCTCCACTTGCAGAGCGCGGAATTCGTTGGAAAAAGACTACTGTAGGAAGAAGTTTTCATAAAACTTAGTAGTACTAATTTCTTTTACATTATGACATATTATTCTTTGACATTAATTACACATTTTAATTAAATATTAATTATATGTTTTTTTCTATTGGAGTAATATTAGTCAAAGAACCCAAGAAGTGGAAATCTATCTAAGACTCAAAGCTTGTTGTAGAAAGAAAAAGTTGCCGAATGAATCTTCGACACTACCTAGTTCGTGGGTATGATGAGAGTATGCAATTTCTTTTAGGTCTTCAGCTACAAGATTTGTACGTAATACATCACCCAGCATACAATAGTTCAATAATTTCACATATATATATCATATGATAATAATATTTAATATATATAAATAATGTTGAATAAATATCGCTGCAATATTAAATGTCCGTGAAAATTTATAGCAAAAATATTTGTGCGATATTTCGGCAATATTACTGCAATATTATGTACTGTGTGATATCTTTTGTTACAGAACGACGACGAATGCATTGGATGCTGAAGCTCTGGCAATAGATGATACTAGAGAGGCAGTGAATGATGAAAATTACAAACTGGACATCAACAGTTCAAACGATAGATATGCTAGTAACTTATCAAGTATACCTTATAGGTATTTCAATGGTAATGATGATGCATAAACGAAAAAATAATTATATACTTTAATTTTTGCAGGAAACAGTTCTATGGCCGGGAAACGACGGGGACTTGATAATGATAGTGAGCTACAGGATTTAATTGGTGAAAGTTTTAGTGAAGTCACGCATTTTCGACTAGCCTGATTACGTAAACGTGGAAGTAACGAAATCCTTCACCGTACTGGAACTCGCGAAGATTCTGTTACACACTTCATGAGACTTATGAAGAACAACCTACAAGGAATCGAGGACGAAGATGCATGAAATGAGATCATGCACTGTTTTTGAAAGTCTTTTCGACGCGACTTGTGAATAAA